AAAGAAAGACAAATAACATATGATATGACTTATATGTGGAATCTAAAATATGACACAAATGAACCTACCTACAAAACAGACACAGAATCACGGACGTAGAGAATTGTCTGGTGGTTGCCAACAGGGAAGGGGGTTGGGGGAGGGATGGAGTGGGAGGTTAGGGTTAGCAGATGTAAGCTTTTATATATAGAGTGGATAAACAACAAGGTCCTACTCTAATAGCACAGGGAACTATATTCAATATCCTATGATAAGCCATAATGGAAAAGAATATTAAAAAAGAATGTATATATGTGTAGAACTGAATCATTCTGCTGTACAGCAGACATTAACACAACTTTGGAAATCAGCAGTTTTTTAAATTGAAGTATAGTTATCTGCAATCTATGTGATTAAACTTCAGAAACTAAAATCTGTACGGCTCATGTAAATGTGTACCAACTGGATGTTAATTACATGCACAGTTGACCCTTGAACAATGCAGGGGTTGGGGGTTCCAACCCTCCAAGCAGTGGAAAATCCAAATGTAACTTATATTTGGCCCTCCTTAAACATGGTTCCTCTGCATCTGCGAATTCAACTAATCACAGCTTGTTAGTACTGTTGTAGGTGTTTACTGAAAAAAGTTCGTGTCTAACTGGATTTGTGCAGTTCAAACCCATGCTGTTCAGGGGTCAACTGTACTTACAATTTGTGTTGTTTCTTCAAGAACAAATTAAATATTTCACATTTTCACTAACACGATTTTAAACATCCCACACTGAAAGCAGCCAAGACTTACCTACTTTACAAAACTGCAAGGTAGCATGACTTAAAAAAATTTATGAAGACTTGCCTTGAGGCTTACAACGATAAAACCATACTGATATGTCAAACTCAAAGCACATAGTACTTGAGCTGAAATGCTGCCTATGCCTGAACCACTTTGTTGAAAGTGTTAAGAAGGTTTACTGATCTCCCAGCTCCCAGCCACGTCAACAACGGAAATCATACTTCACTTATTATCTTACCTGTCAAAGGAAGCTAAAGATCTCATTGGGTGGAGAAAAAAAAGTACATGTACTTCTTTAAATAACCAATATCCTTGCCCCTCAGGCCACTGTCCTTCTTATATAAGCAGATATATAAGATAAGAGACACCTTTTCAAGCCTGAGGCCTTTTCAAGCCTTTTCAAGCCTACATTGTGGTGGGAGCTGGGAGAGGAAAGAGATTGGAGAAGGAGTCATCTACAAATAGAATGCTTCCCAGCCTCGGCTAAACACTGGAATCATCAGGGGCGCCTTCCAAGTTCCCAGAGCCCAGACTCCACGAAAAACAATTAAATTAGGCTATGTGGAACGGGACGCAGGCATTCGTAATTTTTTAAAGTGTCTCCACCATTCCTTGAGTGAAACCACTGTGCAGCCAGGTGAAGAACCACAATACTAACTACTACTCTTTAGATAATTTTCAGGCCCCTTACATTCTCCTTTAGAAAGCAAAGAAAGCGCTGAGATTAAAATGATAAACAGCTGAGAGATGAAGGGCTATAAGCAGTAGCCGCTTAGGAGGAAAAATGCTTCCGAAACACTTTGATCTTTTAGTCTTCAATAAAATAACCAAATTGGATCTCTATGGTTTTACCAGGATGTTATTAGTGTCCGACAGAAGATTAAGGCAAGGAGCACTTCAAATGAGCTCCGTCAAATGGGTCTCAAACTGGCTGGCAACTGACAGCCACAAAGAAACCCTCTCAGGTTTTAACTAGGGATGGATGGAGAGTTAACTGACAGAAACAGAAGGTCACTCCTGAGTTTGGCTTTATTTAACACCTTTAACTGTCTTTGGGGGGAAAGCCATCAATTTCCATTTACTGAGAATGCCACACATTCCGATCCATTCTCAAGCTATAAGGGGAAAGAAAAACTTGCACGGCTTCTCCTGCAGGTCTCCTGCGCCAGACAGGCCAACATTACTCACTCTGCTTAAGGTACAAAGGAGATCTGGTCTCAACCAGTGTACGTGTGTCTAGGCATCCAAAAGGTGAATCCACAAACAGAAACCTGTAAAACCATAAGGCTGCAAGGTCCCGCCTGTAAGACTGAATAGTTGTTGAGCACTGGGCCGTGATGCTAGATCAGGGTTGAATTCCCAGCTTCTGCACTGCTTGATCCTGGGCAAGTTAACCTCACAGAGCCTCTGATTCCCAAGACATAAAATGGACCCAATGACATCACCACCTTGGAGGCTCGTGAGGACTAAATTAACTGAGCTGAAGTAGGTAAAACACCTCACGCAATGGCCCGCAAACGGTGGATGCACATGAAATAGCAGTGATTCTTGTTATTTCTGCAGGCAAGGCCAAGGCATTTTGAGAGAAATTTTCCTAAATGAGGTTTGTGCTCTGATATATTTTATTAATTATGATCAAGTCCCTACTACGTGCAGGGAATCCAACAGAAGTCCCTGCCTGCCTGGAGCCTCTGAACGTATTAGAGACACAAATAAGATTCTACACAATTTCAATATAATATAACCTTTCGGGGAGAGAATACAGGAGGAGCACCGAGGCCAAGATCGGATGCCAGAAAAAAGCTTGCTGGAGAAGTGAAATTAAGGCAGAAAACTGGAACGTGTCTAGGTGTTGGTGACACAGCGAGCAGGCCTGGAGAAGTTGGGAGAGAAGGGTATTTTAGGGAAGAGTACATACAAAGGGTCAGCTGATGAAAATAGGAGGAGAGAGGACTAGGGGAAGAAGTGAATGGGGGGATAAAGAAAGGTGGAGCAGGACCTAAAAGGAAGTCTGATTGGGGAGGACTTCCTTTAGCCATGATCAGGGTTTGAGTTTCAGAAGAGGACAGTGGAGAGCCAGTCAAGTATTTGGGGCATTTTGGAATTAAGGAAGAATTACGCGGGCTAGAGCCCCAGTGTAGTAAACAGAGCTGGAGGCTGGCAAGTTGTAGGCAGGAAGCTCAGTTTGGGAAGATAAAAGGATCCCGCTAGGGGGCTGAGAATGGGGATGAGAAGGACAGACTCAAGAGAGCGAATCCAGGGAACTAGTTTCACAGGGACAGTATAGTTTATCTAGGGACAGTATAGTGGGTGTTTCTACAAAACCTTCAGTACTATGAAAGGCCTGGGGTTGCTACTCCTATTTTATAGGTAGGCGAGTTTAGAGACAATGGGAATAAGCCAGCATAAAAGTTTTAATCTCTTATCTCTAGGTTTACATGTTCAAAATTGGGAAAATGTTCAGGAGGTGGTATGTTGTAACTTCTTTTTTTGCAGTAGAAAAAAACCGAAGAAACATTACTACTGGCTTGAAATGCAGACACAGGGTGTCATCTTTCTCATCCATATATCCTCATATAAGTGAAACATGTTTGTGAAGATGCAGGTGAATTAGAAACATAATAGAGGTGACAGAGAAGCCCCAAGCTAGAAGATGAATTTTTCAGTTTGTTAATTTCTCACTCTTTGTCTGACTAAAATGTTCTTTTGTTATCAAAACAAAATGAATTTCTTCAGCTAAATTCTTTCTGTGAAAATCTTTGTGTTTTTCTTTTATCACTCAGCCTGGCCCTCTGAATTTAGCTGAGGAGCAAGACCCAGAAAGTTAATTAGCACCAGGTTAACATTTGCTGTAACGAGTCATTTAGCATTTTCTGGCCATGCACATTTTCCATTAAATTTTCACGAGAAATAAAACAGACCATCAACGTATGTTGTGCAAAACAAAGTGTTGGTCATCTAGATCTTAAATTGCTTGCAGCATTCAAGACTGGCCCTTGATAAGAATAATTTATAATTTAAAAAATGAGTCATTTAACATCCTGCTTGCAAAAACCTTCAGGAAAATCGTCACTTTTGACTACTTGGACTTCTCTCCATTTCTGGCCATGATCACAATCTCTTAGTTTCACAAGGACCTCAGAATGCTCAGTATCTGTATCTCTTTGGCTACTCTAGTTCTTACATTTAAAATCTGCTAGTGCAGAAAAACTGCTGGAATATCTCCTCTCCACAAGAATCTGTTACCGTGATTTGAAATGTGGAGTTAAAATGTTATGTCATTGCTCACTAGCCTTCAGAGGGCTGTTCTACAATCGCTTCCAATTACTTAAACCACTTCTACAACAATCGGCCTCAATTTTTAAACGTTAGAACCACTTGGCTTTTGCTTCAGGAAAGCTTTATTAAGAGTGCTGCTTCAAACTCAGTTTAATTTTGTCTTTATGGTCAAGTTGCCATACAAACTGGAAGCAAAAGGGTACAGACTTCAAGACTTCTCAAATGGCCACTCTTATTAAAGATGTGATGGTAAAAGAACAAGCTATGCTCATGGGAGAGGAACTTTCCAGTCACGATCAGAAACTGTTCCCAAGCCATAAAAAAGAACAAAATAATGCCATTTGCAGCAACATGGATGGACCTAGAGATTGTCATACTGAGTGATGTAAGTCAGACAGAGAAAGACAAATATCATATGATACCGCTTATATGTGGAATCCAAAAATAAAAAAAGGGTACAAATGAACTTATTTACAAAACAGAGTCACAGATGTAGAAAACAAACTTATGGTTACCAGGGGGGAAAGGGAGGGGAGAGATAAATTGCGAGACTGGCATTGACATATACACACTACTATATATAAAATAGATAACTGACAAGGACCTACTCTGTAGCACAGGGAACTCTACTCAATAACCTATAATGACCTATATGGGGAAAGAATAAAAATAAAGTAGATATATGTATATGTATAACTGATTCACTTTTTGCTGTATACCTGAAACTAACACAACACTGTAGATCAACTATATTCCAATTAAAAAACAAAACAAAACAAAACACCCCAGAAAATCTTCCCAAATGTTGACCAGGTAAATGACGAATGCAAAAACGGACGCCCACCCCCAAAACCAACAGCAGAATTATGGGACAGGTTAATAATGATATTATTCCTTATTGGCACAGCATGGCGAAATATTTACCTTCGTTCCATAACTTTCCACTTACCAACTTAAATGTCAATGTTTTTAAAGCTTTGGGATCATCTACAATCTTCTGTAAATTAGCAGCCACTGTAAAATACAAACATGGAGAAAAAGCGTCCAAATTATTTCCAATAACTGGATTTTCACATCAATGATTCAGAAAATCTGACTAATGATGCAATAACCTGCAAAATCATCTCTTTCACAGTCATTACAAAGTCCATACAAATGACCAAACTACTCTCATAAAGACGTTTTCTATCACAACCTACATCTTCAGCACATCTGAATTAATCACTATACACTGACCCCACGTTTTCTACAATAAAATGAGAAATTACTTTCTAGTGGAAAGTAGAAATGATAGTAGCCCCCCATTGTTTCCACCACCTGGTTTTTCTCAACACTCATTACTAAGAGATCTGTTAGCCAGGAGAGGGCAGTACAAAACAGAGGAGGGGTATCACAACGACCCATTTCTCTGGAAATAATAGGTCAGCATTTCGAACGCCTGTCCCTATAAATTCACTCAATTCTCTGCACCCATTTTTATCAAAGCAACAAAATACAGTGGATAATCTCTACGACTCAGGCATGTGTTTTAGTGCTTTCAGGGCACGATGATCTGTCAAAGCAGTGAAGTACCACCTTGAGCAACACAGGAACTGGCTGAACAGGGTCAAGCACTAGAGGCTGTCCGTTTGGAGCTCAACAGTGCAGCTATGTTTTTAGTATTGGCCAGATTCATCAGAGACCCCATCCTGCTCTCTGTGGCGCCGTGACGTATTTGAGGCTGTCACAGAGAAGTCAGCCTTTCTTGCTTTGGGTATTGTTTATGAACAGAATCCTCAACAGGCGATGCCGATGGAAATTTAACACCTTCCTCTTTCCACGACCAAACCTGAACGTCAGGTAAGTACTATTGGTCAAAGAAAGTGAAGTTACTATATTGAAGAAATTAGGAGAGAGGTCCTCTTCATCATTTTTATTTTTCATGAGGAAAACCCCCTGCTGCTTCAGTAATTAGGCATCTGAAAAGTTATCTGAATATTTTAAGGAAAAAGAAAACCAATTTAGGAGAAAATAGTAAACATATAAATATTTTGAGAAGAGTGTTTCAAGTAGCAAGTTTGTAAGTAGAAAGAAATCTGTGCCAATTTTATTTTTCTCTAAGGTTGACTGAAAACAACCCAGACACAAGAATTTCTCGGCAGATTAGTTTCATTTAATCCATCTGCTGTGGAGGGAAAAAAATTATATATTCAATATGGCCTGTTTCTCTTTTTTTTAATTTTTAAAATTTATTTTATCTTTGGCTGCGTTGGGTCTGTTGCTGCATGGGCTTTTCTTTAGTTGCAGCGAGCGGGAGCTACTCTTCACTGCAGCGCATGGGCTTCTCATTGCGGTGTCTTCTCTTGTTGCAGAGCATGGGCTCTAGGCGCGTGGGCTTCAGTAGTTGTGGCTCACGGGCTCAGTAGCTGTGGCACACGGGCTTAGGTGCTCTGCAACAATGTGGGATCTTCTCAGACCAGGGCTCAAACCCGTGTCCCCTGCATTGGCAGGCAGACTCTTAACCACTGTGCCACCAGGGGAAGCCCTGGCCTGCTTCTCTTCATAAACCACAATTACAAGCACCATTTTATCTTCATCTGTTGCCCTCTTAATACTTCCAATCTTAGTAACAAAGTTTCATTTTTGTTAACACCCGTCTCCCCCACTCATCTTTTTCTCTCCCTCGTTTTTGCCCACGCAGCAAACTTACACACATCATGTACAGACCCTGGGCCACCAACCTCAATCTTCTTTTGGCCTCCTCCACAGTTTCCTGAACTTATCTCAGATACTAAAATCATCTAGTAGTCTACACAAGAAACATTGGCTCATGGAGTGAAAAGCTCTGCTGTAAAATCCTGCCCACTAAAGCCAGTACTGACGGTGTCAGGGCATTCTGACTATATGAAAATTGCATCAACTGAGCAGAGTCACCCTTTTCTTAGAGCATGAAAGTGTTCTAATAGTTCCTTGGATTTGGGCTGATTTCACGAGTGGCCGTAAAGTCTTCACATGAATTTCAGTTCTTTCATCCCCGTAAATGTGGATGACTTACTGCCTTGTTCTGGTCATCTATTTCCAGTCGGCTCTCTAATGTTCCACACAAAGCAGAGCTGCGTCCTACACTAATTCACAACCCTCTCTCTGGTGGACACGCATCTGTGGTAGGGCCAATTTCTAAGGAACATGGCTACAAGCAAGTTGTAGCCTGGAGGGCAACAATGACCTGCTGGCATCTTAAACAGTCATCCCAGAAACCATGTCCCCAGCTGTGAACCCTACACCTCGGGGGACATTAGAAATTCAAATTCTGTCTTCAGCTCAAAGCAAAAATAGCAAAACTGGCCACTTACCTGATTACTCATCCCAGGTGCTACGCTTATTTTCAATTTCGTTGATTCTAATTTGTTATAAAGTGCTACAAAATACCTTCATTTAACTGATGTCACATAAAATTCAGGGTGATGCTAACTTCTCTTCTAGTAGCAATGCTCATTAAAAAAGATGGGTGTCACTGTTTCCTCCCTTCTCCTGACTGCACCCGGATTTCTAAAATAAAAACGCTCCTTACCCAGAACGTGAGCTGAGAAGGAAGGGCTGGCTGTTACTTTAGAGCTCCTCAAGTATATGCTTAATGTTTTAAGATACCCTAGTTTCCAAAAATATATTATGGGGCTTCTGAACCCTGCTTACTCAGTGGCCATCAAGTCATTTCTGATCCCTCCTGGCTTTCCCAAATAAAACTCATTCCCCTTTATTCAACATAGTTTTGGAAGTTCTAGCCACAGCAATCAGAGAAGAAAAAGAAATAAAGGGAATCCAAATTGGAAAAGAAGAAGTAAAGCTGTCACTGTTTGCAGATGACATGATACTATACATAGGGAATCCTAAGGATGCTACCAGAAAACTACTAGAGCTAATCAATGAATCTGGTAAAGTTGCAGGATACAAAATTAATGCACAGAAATCGCTTGCATTCCTACACACTAATGATGAAAACTCTGAAAGTGAAATTAAGAAAACACTCCCATTTACCACTGCAACAAAAAGAATAAAATATCTAGGAATAAACCTACCTAAGGAGACAAAAGACCTGTATACAGAAAATTATAAGACACTGATGAAAGAAATTAAAGATGATAAAAATAGATGGAGAGATATACCACATTCTTGGATTGTAAGAACCGACATTGTGAAAATGATTCTACTACCCAAAGCAATCTACAGATTCAATGCAGTCTCTATCAAACTACCACTGGCATTTTTTACACCTAGAACAAAAAGTTTCACAATTTGTATGGAAACACAAAAGACCCCAAATAGCCAAAGCAATCTTGAGAACAAAAAACGGAGCTGGAGGAATCAGGCTCCCTGACTTCAGACTATACTACATAGCTACAGTTATCAAGACAGTATGGTACTGGCACAAAAACAGAAAGATAGATCAATGGAACAGGATAGAAAGCCCAGAGATAAACCCACGCACATATGGTCACCTTATCTTTGATAAAGGAGGCAAGAATATACAGTGGAGAAAAGACAGCCTCTTCAATAAGTGGTGCTGGGAAAACTGGACTGCTCCATGTAAAAGAATGCAATTAGAACACTCCCTAACACCATACACAAAAATAAACTCAAAATGGATTAAAGACCTAAATGTAAGGCCAGACACTATAAAACTCTTAGAGGAAAACATAGGCAGAACACACTATGACATAAATCACAGCAAGATCCTTTTTGACCCACCTCCTAGAGAAATGGAAATAAAAACAAAAATAAACAAATGGGACCTAATGAAACTTCAAAGCTTTTGCACAGCAAAGGAAACCATAAACAAGACCAAAAGACAACCCTCAGAATGGGAGAAAATATTTGCAAATGATGCAACTGACAAAGGATTAATCTCCAAAATTTACAAGCAGCTCACGCAGCTCAATAACAAAAGAACAAACAACCCAATCCAAAAATGGGCAGAAGACCTAAACAGACATTTCTCCAAAGAAAATATACAGATTGTCAACAAACACATGAAAGATGCTCAACATCATTAATCATTAGAGAAATGCAAATCAAAACTACAATGAGATATCATCTCACACCGGTCAGAATGGTCATCATCAAAAAATCTGTAAACAATAAATGCTGGAGAGGGTGTGGAGAAAAGGGAACACTCTTGCACTGTTGGTGGGAATGTGAATTGGTACAGCCACTATGGAGAACAGTATGGAGGTTCCTTAAAAAAATACAAATAAAACTACCATACGACCCAGCAATCCCACTACTCAGCATATACCCTGAGAAAACCATAATTCAAAAAGAGTCATGTACCAAAATGTTCATTGCAGCTCTGTTTACAATAGCCAGGACATGGAAGCAACTTGAGTGTCCATCATCAGATGGATAAAGAAGATGTGGCACATATATACAATGGAATATTACTCAGCCATAAAAAGAAATGAAATTGAGTTATTTGTAGTGAGGTGGATGGACCTGGAGTCTGTCATACAGAGTGAAGTAAGTTAGAGAAGAAAATCAAATACCGTATGCTAACACATATATGTGGAATCTAAGGAAAAAAAAATGTCATGAAGAGCCTAGGGGTAGGACGGGAATAAAGACACAGACCTACTAGAGCATGGACTTGAGGATATGGGGAGGGGGAAGGGTAAGCTGTGACAAAGTGAGAGAGTGGCATGGACATATATACACTACCAAACGTAGGGTGGATAGCTAGTGGGAAGCAGCCGCATGGCACAGGGAGATCAGCTAGGTGGTTTGTGACCACCTAGAGGGGTGGGATAGGGAGGGTGGGAGGGAGGGAGACACAAGAGGAAGAGATATGGGAACATATGTATATGTATAACTGGTTCACTTTGTTGTAAAGCAGAAACTAACACACTATTTTAAAGCAATTATACTCCAATAAAGATGTTAAAAAAACTCATTCCCCTAGTTTCTGATGCAGGCTCTGTGTTATTCCTTGAACTTGTCCCTTCCGTGCTCCACAGCCCACTGTCTTTGGTCTCAGTGCTTTC